GCAGAGCCCGATTTCCGCGCCCAGTGCATAGTCCGCCAAGCTGGTGCGTTGCGTCTTTGTGCTTTTTTTCCTGGGTGGCATTTTCTTCAGAAGTTCTTCGGCGAATGCTATTGAGCCTGAAAGCTGCTCTTGAGGCCCATATCCAGCCACTGAGCACACAAGCACAGAAAACAACACTCTGTGCCAAGTACAAACGACGGAAAGCCGTGAATGCCAAACGAGCAGTGTCGGGTGACGACGACTGACTGCGTTGCGCCCCTTCCACGCCTGCATCGCTGCGGTGGGTGGTCGTAGCTAGTCGTAGCGAGACGATCTTCACTTCAAGCAAGAAATCTTGCCATACCATAGTCAAGATATGTGTGCAAGTGTTCGACGACGTGGGCTCTTTCACGTTGGTGCAGTTGTCATCAAGAAAGGTACATATCAACAATGTTGCATGTTTGAGGCTGAAACTATGACGCATACTCATCTAAACCTAAATTTATCGGTCTGCGGCTACAAACATTTTCGTTGATGTTGCTTAGATGATGTAACCGTTCAGGCCTCACATTAAATGGTGTTGCGAACTCTTCGGTTGTGTATGAAAACCTATTTTTGCCCTAATAAAAGACATTTTCAAAAGGACACGTGTCTTCTGCTGATACATATCTTCCAATTTACAATGCAGATGCAAACCGAAAATCAACTGCGTACATCTAACACTAAGCATAAGCACCTTATGCCATTCATTCTTGAGCACACTCAAATATCAGCTTAGGTTGCTCTTGTTTTAGAAGCTTTGCCCTTATCTGTAAAAAGAAAACCGTTAAAAAAAGCTTTACCTTCGTTCTCCTTCTCGCATTTAATACAGACTTGTTTGTCAGCCGATCACACACAGCAGATATCACCGTGGCACATACAACTCGAATTACCGATGAGATTATTGCTATTACAATAAAGCTTTCCACAAGAGCCAAAACGAGGCTTGTAGGGGTGCACAAGCACATCGAAATGAGATTGGCGCTTCTGGGGCTTGTTTACATTATGCGTAAAAGCAGGACGATCGGCGACAAGCTGATCGCAATATAACACCAAGGATACCGATGTTTCAATACATAGAACGCACGATAAAGACCTCAATCGTCCCCTGTATGCTGTAGTTGTCATACTTTCCATCCAACCGCTTTTTAGCACAATTAAGTTTTAACCAGAACAACCGAAGAGTTCGCAACACCTTTTAATGCGAGGCCTGAATGGTCTCGCATCTAAGCAACGTCAACGAAAATGTTTGTAGCCGCAGACCGATAAGTTTAGTTTTGATAAAGTACGCGTCATAGTTTCAACGCGCCAACATTGTTGATATGTACCTTTCTTTGGACCCGCGTACATTCGGTTCAACTTGATGACAGCTGCACCAGCGTGAGAGCTCACGTCAAACACTTGCACACATATCTTGACTATGGCAAGATTTCTTGCCTTCGACTGGCTTGAACACTTCACCTGTAGCATCACGGTAGGTCTTGGTTGAAACGATGATCGTCTCGCACACGGCAACAAGCAGAGAACGACAAGCTGTGTTTTATTTATACGCTACCGGTCTACGGGTGTCGCAAATCTATCCCCCTCTTGTCCGCCATGTTGGATCGATCGGAGCGCCCCCTATATTCGCTGAAACTCCTCAATATTGAAGCAGCAGACTACGATAAACGAAGTTATCGTATTTGAAGCCATAAGCAGGAGCAAGGTTAAAGGGATACTACAACGAAACTTCGGCGCTCATTTTTGGGTCTGTATGTGTTCAAAGGAGCAGCATCACATCGAACATACCAATATCTTGTTAAAAAAGTTACGAAAAGGAATTTTAAAACGAATTAAACGATTAGCAAAAAGCACCTGGTGGAAGTCGCTAACGCCTCGCTTGGAATGCCTGTCTAGGAACCTTGACAGCTAGTGACGGAGGTTGTCTCGCCTCCGGCCACGACGAGAGAAGAGGGGCAGGAGGAACTCCCCTCTTCCCGAGAATGCCTTTTGTGTGTCGCAGAAGTCGCTATTGTCCCTCTACAAGATTACAGAAGATTAACCTGTCACTCAAAATTCGTACAAAAACAGCCACTTCGGTTTCTGGAACGACTAGGCCATCCTCTTGACGTCAGCCTCGCCGTAGCTTTGCTCGTCCTGAGACGACCTAAGTCACGATTGCGTTGGATGTCACGTGGTCTCCGCTGGGCCTTCTCCGAGCGCTTGCCAGAGTGGGCCGTTTATAACGAAAAATGCAGCCACCAGGCTCAAAATACAAACGTGCGATTGTCATTTACGGATATTGTGGATCATATTCAACCTATTTTTGAACACGACGGGAATATTTCAAATTTCGTTGAAGTATCCCTTTAAAGTACGCCGAGTAGATATACCACTCGCGTAAGAGCTGCTGGCCGGCAAGGTTTCGGATCGGACCGCGTTTCAGCTCTATCAAATCACGATTTATCTTGTGAGAATAAGGTTTCAACTTCTAATGATGGACTAATAGGAATATTTTGGTCATTTGTTTTCAACTGGCTGACGTCCGGATCCCGGATCTCAGGCCGCAGAGCCTCAGGCAATCTGACCGCCTTAACGACTCAACCTCACCTCAGCCGACTTGCTTAGCCGTTTATGGTTGAATAACAATCCAGTCGCAGGTGGTGTAGCTCTTGGAATCCGAGTTTTTTCGCGCGCTTCCTACTCGGGATACACAGGGAGAATAAACAGAACAAAGGATTACAAGGCCGACCAGGCTAAACGTGCTCATTGTTGCCAATCGAGTTAATAAAACCGAAACCAAGACAAAATCAGTGTTGCCAGATGGTCCCACCGAAAACCGCCAAACGACCTGGGAGGTATAGCCAAAACCGTAAAAAAACTATAGCCCAAAATAGTCAAGATTAAAAACAATGATTTTTAAGCCTTATGTTCACAATCTTTCACATTCATACAATACACCTTACAAACTCTGTTTCAACCCTCAGATGCACAAACTTTTGTGTACATTATGTTACTTCTGAATTTTTCAAGAAAAAAAAAAGCTTTGGAAGGATGAAAATTTGTACAAAACTGGCCCTTCCTTCGGTTTCCAGAAGTACAAAACACACAAAGACAGCTTTATTGTGAAGCCCGGGAGATATGATCATACAAAAAAGAACGAAAATACAGAAGCAGAACAGTGAGAACACTGGTTATTTCAAACCAGAACCCCAACATCTCGGGTCCTTACCAATATCCCACCCGTCTCTTTTTCTTTGTGAAGGATATTAGTGTCACCCATATTTATGTTCACGTTATTTCCGATTCTTGGCGTGGGCAACGACTGGAAGGTAGTCGTGTTTAGCGGTGAAACTGCGGACTTCTCATTTTTGGTGCCCAAGGATTCTTATAATGGGCATCAAAGCAGCATTTGGAGAGTTCAGTCTACGTCCGGGCAGAGCCATATGCGTCTGGGTTGAAGGCGCGCTACCATGCCTGTGATAATAGTGCAATCTCCTTGGTTTGCCCCACTGCGCTGTAGGGAGACCGCTTGAACTCTGCAAGCATTGCTTCACTGCGCACTGTGAAAACCCCGAAGTTTGTAGAAGTTTAAAGCCTTTTCTCCTTCCTCTCTCTCCTCTCGACTAGCCAAAAGAGAAAATTTTTTTTCGAAACTGACTAAAAGTTTGAAAATTAACTAGCCGAACCTCAAAGTTCGGCGTCGAACCCGAAGTTCGACAAAATCCATCTTGGTTTTAAAAGCGCACAAAAGACGAGGACAGAGTAAGAAACACAAACGACGGACGAGCGCTCCGTCGTTTGTGTTTACTCTGTCCTCGTCTTTTGTGGGCTTTTAAAACCAAGATGAATAACTACCAACTAGCCCAACTTTCCACTCTACTGCAGTTCGACAAAAGTTCGCCGCATTCTCAGAAATACCTCAAAATAGCCACACAGCCAACCACGAAATTTTGACGCAAACTAGAAAAACGTGTTGCCCAATTTGGCTATATATAGCCCAATCTGGCAACACTGGACAAAATAAAAAGTCTTTTGGTGCACGTTTTTTTGATTTGGCGCTTGGCTGTGGCGCAGAAACATGCGTCTGGCGCAAAATAGCGCAAATCGCGCAGCCGTTCCATCCCTGCGTCGTGTCAAGAGGAAGTTACCATGAACGAGCTCCACTCGCGCGCCATTCCCTCTCTCTGCCCTGGCTCTTTCCCAAAGCATCTTTCGTCGTATTTCGTGGCCCGTGTTAAGTCGTCTGAAATTGATATTTTTGATTGCTTAAATTTTTGCAGTTGCGGAAGATTTTAAGTTTTTCATTGAAGTCTGTGAAGTTCATCTATTTGCGAAGTTCATTATATGCGGTGCACTCTTCTCGACCGACTTTGACTCCCAAGCGGCTTTGAAAAATTTCAGTGGCTACGTTTGTTTCTTCCCGGTTCTTGGGGACGCCAAAGATTACTAAATTGTTCCTTCGGCAGCCATCTTCTCGGTCAATAAGTTTATTCTGCTGCGTCCGAACCTTTGACTATTCAACCCTTTGACCGTGTCTTCGAGACGACTGCTTTTATCGTTAATGTTCTTCACAGAAGTTTCGAGTTGCGTAATTTTGCTTGTGAATTCATTCATCCTCTTAGAATTTCGGCGCCAGCTCTTGTCCGACAATAATTTGTTGGCATTGAACGCCCAGCCTTAGAAATTTGTAATGTTCCGCGAGGAGCCGGACTTATTTTACTGCGGTTCTTAAGGTGAAAATGAGTACAGAAGCTTAGCATATCACGCATCCTGTGCTTCTTTGCAACAGTAGAATACTGAAGTAACCCGGAGGCAGCGAGAAGACTCCACCAGGCGGCAACTTCCTAACTTCACAATGCCAGTAAAGACATGGTATCTAGGCCTAGCACAGGGCATTTTTTATGGCCGAAAGTAAAAGATCAACATAAACTTGCCCAACGTAGACATGAATGCTCGTCCCGTGCACAAACCAAAATGCATCTATTTCTCGTTCCATCCAGCTGCATGAGATCTACGAGCGTACGAGGGACGTGCTGCCTGGCGAGGAAGAGAAGGTTCTGCAAATGATCAGCAACGCCCGGGAGCACATCCGCTGGTCTAGCCACTTCTACAGGGACGTAGAGTCGTGGCTGGAGAAGCGCTACTTTCTGGACCACCAGAAGATGAACAGCTAAGAATAAAATGCGCCTATACGTGTCCATGCACCATTGGAAACAGATTCATTTAGAGCCGTATGTAGCATTATTCGGTTTGATACCTGGTAGTCAGACAAAAACGAAACTTGCTGAAAAATAACATCCGGTGATTTCAAGAGCTGTCTACCAAAACAAATTTGCACATCTTTCCGAGATTCTTAGTTCCACCCTATTTTTGCACAATTTTCTAAGCAACTTCAATGCAGAAAGTTACCAAAACCAATTATGATTGCACAGGCTAGCAAAAATATATCCATTGCAGTGATGTGATTGGCCTAAGCTGTTTTGGAGCAGCCAAAACAGTGTTTTGGAGCAGCAAATGTGGCTTTTGGAGCAACCAAAACAGTGTTTTGGAGCACCAAAGGTGGCTTTTGGAGCAGATATCCTTAGAAAAATATATATATATATATATATATATATATATATATATATATATATATATATATATATATATATATATATATATATATATATATATATATATATATATATATTCGTTTTAAGTGCTGTACAAACGAGGGGATTTGTGTTGTGTTCTGATGTGACGGAACTCGCTGCTTGTGCTTTTACTCCTGAGACATCCCACAAGTGTACACAGTCCTATAGGCGTTGCCAAGCAATTAGAAAAAAAACTTGTTACCGTTTTACTGGTTCCCGACGTGCCAGATATTCGTCAAAAGTAAGCAAACGTCAAATAATGGACTGCAAGCGTCCCGGCCAGAGCTCTGGTTCCGGCTGGTGCGTCTGTCGTGCAATTATGTTCGCATGCACGTGATGGCAACTTCTGCAGGCTTGCAGTTGCGCGTGCTTCATCGCGCAAGCGGAGACAACGACTGTTCAATCAAAATCGAAACCATGCCACTCCGCTCCGTCGCCAACTGATTCCCGAAATCGTATGCAAAATTTAACTTTCGAGCGTACGACCAAAAACAGTCCAGCGGCGTGTGTTTGCCAAGCCGGCAAACAAAATACAAGCTAAACACACACACACAAAAAAAGATAACCTGAGCGCGTTGATGCAAGACATCGCGAGTCAAAAAGTTTTTGGACCGCTTTGTGCAACGACTGAACTCGAGACAAACAAGCGCGCTCTGCGGGTTCAGCGTGCAGATATTGTTGAACTCGAGACAAACAAGCGCGCTCTGCGGGTTCAGCGTGCAGATATTGCCTTCTTTGCTTTAGCTCACTTCCCTTCACCAACTTTCTATCACGACAGATTTTTCACGTACCGGGGTCCCTTTTGAAAGAAAGCCCGCCGAGAGAAACCTAGGTAATCAATACTTCGTCACAGCAGTCTCTGAGTTAAAGAGGGATTTTTGTAGTAACGTATGATTTAAACAACAGGAATGTTGATGAGCATGCGGCAGTACCTAGTTTCATTTTAGAAAACGCCATATCTGCAGCGACGTGGGGCTGCAACACCCGACGTCGCGCGACCACGGTGCTTTCGGGAGCGAGTGCTTCAGCTCACAAAGTAACTCTCGCCTCGCAAAAATGTGGTTTCGTTTCACAGCAGGACGGCAGGGCTGGTACCCGGCACGCTAGCGTCGGAGCGCCCGCACACACCCGCGTCTATCGTTGAATATTTTTAAAGTTTACAGTTTTAAAAGACGCGAGACGAGACCCACGAGACGACGAGAGCGCGAATCGCGAGACGGCGGGAAAACCATGCAAGACCAGAGGGACAACTGATGCAGGGTACTTTGTGTCGGGCGGCCGCTTGCGCCACATAACAGATGCATGCTCAGTTACGGTAGTTAGTTTAGGTTCGGTTTTGAAAAGTAACCGAAATTGTTTTTTTGGCGCAGGCTTGGCGCAGATTAGCCATATTTCGGCGAAATGTAGCAGGATGTAGCAGGATTAGCCCCTTGGCGCAGTTTGGCGCAGCAATCACATCACTGCCATTGGTTGGCCAAGCGAGGCCCACTACTATATCCCCCTATGCCCAAAGCTCATTTGAAATGGGGCACTTCGTCAGAGTATTCTGGACAACGGCAAACGCTACAGGAGCGAGCGACGGACTGCAGGGGGCGCTACAGGTCATCAGTGAATTCAATGCCATGCGAGTGTTATGTGATCTTCGGACGGGGTGCAGCAATGCAATGAGAGTGTAGTCACGCAGTACGTTCACAGTCCTGGATTGGTTGGGACAGCTTGTAAAGCCTGCTGCGGTTCACTGTAGAGTGAAACGGAGTACAGCCGTAGAACCTGTCCTCTTCACAAATGATACCAGGAAACAATGCACCTAGGCATATTTAAGAGGTTTGAAACAGAATCATGCTCAAGGCACTAGGAACTGGGACAAACCAAAATGAACTCTAGTATTTATTTCATGTTGTGACCAACAAGGCATCCTGAATCTGTCCGATGAAATTAATCCTCTTCCACGGTAATGTTCACAGTTTTAGGCACTTTGTTATGAAGATGTCTCCCCACACACATTCAAATGAGTTGAAGGTACCCTGAAAGCAGACAGATCGAAAAAAGAACAGTCACCTCACTCACACACTAAATATTAAAGGGAAGATGGGGCACTTCTACATTTGAGAAAAAACGCTTGAATTGCGTTCATTTGGCCTTTAGATTAACAGATATCAAAATTGTATTTCAATGCGACCCGCCGGAGAGCCATACGAGCAATTTCAAAATAGGACTGAAGCCCCGCCTCCCTAGCCTTGGGCAGCCAAAAGAGCCGTCGATGACGTCACGGACAGCGACTGTCTTTCGCGTTTTTCTCGCATTTAACAATACTTACGCAGCAAATGGTTTGGGTATTCGGGTTCACGGGATAAAAATACACTAGAATTCACTTCCAACTCATTTTTTCCAAGAAGCTCCGTAGCTTCCCTTTAAGTCACTTACACACTAGACATTAAGGCAAGTAGGATCCCAGTCTTTCATATTTAGTTCTGGCATGATTTGAAACTATAAATCAATATTATGCCATTATCATAAAATTAGCATTTGCCAATGTCTCATGGGCAAAAATATGCAAAATACTTTCTTTGATAAAATGAGGGAAAATAATTACAAAAGAGTAAGTATCCTTGGAAAGGCCTTAAAGAGGTCTACATTTCTTTCGACTTGGTAGTACTGTACTTACCTACAAGATGTCAGGAATGGAATAATATTAAGTGCCAAGTGGTTGATCAGATATCTCTTCTGTCTATTGATTTTCACAAATTCATCAAAATATTTGACGTAAATATGTGGTGCCTCTTTGTGAATACCAAGAATAAGCACCTCCACTAACAACAAATAATGCAATAGACCTTTTGCTAGATGACTGTAAAACCAAGGAGCATTCCCACTTTGTAGGTACACAAACTGCCCATGCTTGCCCTGTCAGTAGGAAAGATTAGAAGTAGTAAACGATTACATGAGGCAACGACAAATGCATGTACAAAGTTTCAATTTGTTTTAGATTTGCACTTTTGAAATTATTGCTACAGACATCAGCATATACAGCGATGGTCTGCAGTGTTCCAATAACTTAGCAAAAGGTCAATTTCCCCACCTTTTTTAGAATCTTTTATCTCTCTAATCAGCACAAAATCATTCTTCATATAAAATGTGACTACGAACTCAGGTTTACAGATGTTCCTTTTTAACACAGCCTTCTACAATTCCATAAAACCTTTTTACACATCTCAATAGCAGTAACTGTATCGTGTGCATGCTTAGACAGCTGGAACTTACTCGGCCCCAATGGCTGTCCATAGTCGACGACAGGTTAAGAATTCAGGGGAAACTCCTCCCACCCCTTTCCACTTGAAAAGAGTGAATGCCGGAGAGGACGCCGCCTCGCTTTCCAGCGTTTGCTCTGCGAAAGTGGAAATGGGAGGGAGAAGCTTTTCCTCAACTCTTAACCTGTCACTCACTATAGTGTCACAGCTGTAAATGAGAAATTCTGCCAGGCCAGTACCACTGATAGCCTGTGGTCTTTAACGTGCATCACACAGTAATTATACACGACCGCACACCGGCGCGATGCTCGTCCAGATCAAAAGGGGCAGGGGTGGGAATTGAACCCAGGGTCCCTGGGTTCTACAGTGCGAGCTTTCGCTTCACGCGCTCCAAGCTACTTTGCGTTGACAAGCTCGGCCATCGATTTCTCCCATCTTGGTAGTGAAACCAGCTAGCTCAACAAAAATGTTTGCCGGGAGAAATTCCTATAAAATTTACCACTTCAGAATACTTATTTTGTATAAGCAACAAGAGTGTACAGAGTGCAACAAAACATCAGGTCTTTAGCGTCTGGGTCAGAAAGTACTGTTTTTTCCAAACATCCATCCATTTGCACTACTTTATATAGAGGTGTAAGCCCATAAGAATTCAGTACACTTTAAAGCACAGTATCTCGAGGATATCTTCTAAAAAGATATTAATGCAAAATTTGTTTTCAATTGCTCACAATAATTTTGCAGAATGGATTGTAACACATACCTTTTCAAAATTCAAAGTCGACTATGCACTGGCTGAACAATAATGAATATTACTCGCGATAACTGCATGCTCCAGTCGCTTTGATTCTCCTTGTGTGAATTCGACTTCATCAGCAACAAAAAAGAAAGCTGCTAAAAATTCTGAATCGATTTTGTCAATAGCTCTTAAAAGAATTCAAATAGTTTTAGAATAAGCTCTTTTTTTTTTTTTTCATTTCATTGCAGCCACCTCAGATGCATGTGCAGAAGTCATACTAGTTAAAAATTATAGCTAGGCACTCGCGAGGCACTCTGCTGACCCAACTGTGCTTAGAGTACAACAAACAAACAGTTTTTATGCCCCCAGCTGACTCAAACTTGTGAGAAGCAAAAAACGTTCAGCCTTTCCACTCTGCTGAAGAAGGAAGAGCAGCGGAGCTGTACTATGTGCCGCCGTTGCTCATAGATGGCGGTAGCTGTCCAGGGGGTTGTGTCGAGACTTGTTTGTTCACGGACACGAAACTGGGGGAACTAGCCCTTAACAGCTCCGCTCTAAAAAGAGGTGAATAAGCTAAGACTGCTAATTATCAAGATGAGAAACCATGTTTTTGTCAATGTTTCCAAACTTGCACAACAATAAATCTCTGGAGAAGATGTGAAGGCCAAATGAATTGTCTCAGTTATGAGGCATCACAGTCTAATCCTCGAGGCTCGTTCGGACATTCGTATTCGACTGTATTCCAGTGCATTCTCTTCGAACCACTTACAACCAAAAAACATGCTCACATATAACGACTGCAAATAACTAGACTGGAGCTTGAGCAGTACTTGCACGCTCAAATCTATGCACTATCTATGAGAAATAAATGCTTATAACACTGTTACAATGACCCAGAGTCTATGGCAAAAAGAATGATGCATAGATAATATACCTATACGCAGATCGAAAGGGTTTCAGGGCCAACTGACAAATGGCACAAGTGTGCCACCGTGTTCCAACGCGAGGCAGTCAAGCGCAGTCAAATGCAAATGCGCAAACCAGCCTTTAAACGTAGCTTTCCCTCAACATACCACGTGCAGCAAGGACCACGACGGTCAGCAACGCATGTGGGGTGGCTGGCTGAACTCCGGATCGCCACCGTCACCCTACCGTCTCAGGCGGCCGTGGTGAGGCAGGTCGAAACGGCCCCTCCCCCGGCCGTGGGACGAAGTGCCCCGACCGGGGGGCCCCAGTCCGTGAGGACGCTGCAGCTGCTGGGGCTGGCTGCCACCCCTCCGGCTTGGAAGAGGTGGCACGGGGGGCTGGAACGGCTGCGCCTGAGGGTTCAGTGTGCTGGAAGGCACCGCGGGAGAATGAAGCTGCTGCGGCTGCGGCTGCTGCTGGAGTAGGAAACCGTCAGTCACAAAGGGGGGAGACAGCACGGGCGGCGATGGACACGACAGCCTAAACTCGGCGCCGGGGAGGTACGGCGCACATTCGGATGTCCCCCAAGTGGGCGCCCGTACGAGGGCCACCCTGCTTTGGTCATAGTGGAAGGCGGTCGTCACTTGGGCACTGGGCGGAGCCTGCGACATACCCGCCATGTGGGGAGCGTGCAAGCTGTGTGGCATGAAGGGGACAGGAGTGCCGTCCGGGGGAGCGTACAAGGCCCCATTCATGCCCATGTTCTGCACGGCCACGCACGACTTTTGCACCTCCATCATGCCCCTGGTCAGCAGGGGCATGTACTTGCCACACAAGGACAACCACTGGTCGAAGCTCATGTCGGCATTCTCTTCCTTCCTAGGGGCACCAGAGGAATCCCCTGGCTCCCCGTCCCCCTTGGAACGCATCAGATTGCGTGCGTCAATGGTCCCCACCACCGTCACTGTGTCCGGAAGATCCTGCAGCCCGTCGCACGACGCAGACGGTGCAATGGTTCTCAAGTGGGAAGGGGAGGAGGCGCCCGACCGCGCCCGATGGGCCGCAAGAGGATTCCGGTCAGGCATGGAGTATCCACGCTGCTCCTCTTGATGGAACGTGCTTTGGGATTCCTGCTGACACGCAAGAGTTCTGTTCTGCGATCCCGGATGACGTGCCAGCATCTTCTCTTTCCAGTTCTCTTCTGGCTCGTGCTGCTGGTTAGGCCCATGACGATCCTCTTTAAGGTCCCGGTTTTCCCACGAGTTCCTTCGCTGGCCGTCACACCATCCGGCTCGATGGCGCAAGCCATTCTGGCCGTGCCAGGTGGAAGGTCCTAAGTTCCTTTGACCCCCTCCGCCATGATGGTACGCCCTGGGGGTCCGTGAATAACCACCTCGATGCTGCCAGTGGTCCTTGCGCTGGTGGGACGTCCAAGGAAAAGCTCCTGAACCGTGCGAGGAGCCGCCGGACGAGGCGGAAGTGCACTCGGAGGCGGGGGAGCAGCCCCCGGGAAGTGGCGAAGGAACGGCAGTCGTGGGCGGTGGCTCCTCTTGGACAGGACTGGGACAGGTGGCAGCACTGGGACCCACGTCCCGCTTGGACCGCTCTATGACCTGCAGGAGCTGTTCTTCTTCGTCCTCGGGAAACTGCCTGAAGAAATACATAAAGCGAATGCTTTAAAAAGAACAGTTTGAACCGAGTGGAACGAAGAGAACAAAACAATGGCCCGATATCTGCTGTACACCTCCGATACCACTTCAAAGCTGTATGTAACGGCGCAACAACTGTTTGTTCGTCACCTTTTAGTGGACTTCCTATGTCGTTTCCGCCAAAATTTAACTACTGCAAAATCTGGAACGAATGCCCAACCTCGGAAGAGCGCACTCCACAAAATTCATACAATCGACAAGACTCCCTTTGGCTCCTACACTCGGCCAAAAAAGAATGCGACAGGACCCCAAGCTGAGAAAATAAAAGGGAAATGCTGTGACATGCCTTTAACAGGCTTGTACAGCCATCATTTTACTGTGATCCAGCGTGGCAATAAAGATGCTCGATACAAAGAACTGCTATAAGCGAGTTTCCAAGATCTCTTATTTGCTGCTTTTAACAACATGCCAATCTATTATGCTTAGGTCTGTACATAAAATTTGCAGATCTAAACACGAAGGAATTCTAAAAAATACTTGTCATAGTTCAATCAAAAATTTACTGAATTTAATAAGAGGTAATACGAGTCTGATCCAGTGTTGTGGAATGGGCACCCACCCCCCTTCCATTCCAATTCCATTCTGGGGAATTAGAGTTTTTGATAATGCAATTCCTTTCAACTCCTAAGAATGGGGACACTATGCCCATTCCCACTCCTCGAATGGCTGAATCATTCCATTCCTCTAATTCCTAAACTTCAAAAATTGGCACTTGACAGCTACATTGTGTTGCCGGCATAAGCAGCATAAAGCTGACATTATCAAATGCAGAGACAATTGCAAAAAAAAGGCGCTAAATGCCTAAAAAAAAAGCACTGATTTTAGTAAGCGGAGCGCTGGTGGCACAAAGTGTTTGTTTACATTGTACTGCAAACATCAAAAAAGCCCCTTGATATGTCGATGCTTGTTTAACATCGGTCTCGCGATCACGTGGCTCGCAACAAACAGCAAAACTTAAATCCACTCATTTTCTTCTTCTTTTTTTTTTCAAGCATTTTTCTATTTGACTTTTAGGACATACACGGCCAGCATGTTTTTTTGATAAGACCATAAAAAATATGTTTCTGCATGGCATCGACAAAGCTGGCTGCACAACAAGATAAATTAACGGGGCAATACCACACCGTTCGAATTGGCATTCCCCGTCTCTCCTCAACACTACGGTCCAACTGACTTCTCACCGCCTCAAACAGTGTACAGGACAAGGAGCATGAATGCAGACCGGACAGTCGAGACGCACGGTAGCCAAAACATCAGTAGCGACTAGCACCCGCTCTCCTTCTCAGCCCTCACAGCAATGGTCGCGCCTCGTCTCGCCAGTCTGGCGCAAGACTGTCTTTCTGCAGGTCTAGTCAGTTCGATCACGCGACAAGAGCGGCGACGATAGTCTACTTAACCTTACAATGGACCGGAACAGACAGAACGAGAGCCATCGAAACCAATCCAGTGCCTTCTGAGTATCGCGTGATCCTGGGGCGCAGCAACGCGCCGTGCATGTAGTCCCGCTCACGGTGCTGGATTGCCTGGCGTGACTCGTAGCGTCCGCAGTGGTCCCTCGTAAGGTGAAACAAAGTATGCAGAGACTAAAGTCAAAGGAAATGAGCGGGAATCCGCTAGCTTGCTTGTAACCCTAACCCACCTGAATGCATAACATATAACACAGAAAACAAGCATCAGAACAAAGACCAAGTAAAAGGCGGACTTACACTACAAATGCAGTATAAAACAAAAACAAGCGAAGAGAGAAGTGAATCTCGTTTTGTTTTAATGCCGAAGCAAACCCACATTTCGCACTTCAAAGGAGCGTGCCCGAATAAACGTGGCAGGCAGCAGGGTTGGCCGCCTGCTAAACAATGCTCCTCAAACTATAAGAAAAAAATAACTGATCATCTTTCGGCGGCGCGCGAGTCAACAAGTTATCAGAGCTCTGCGAGTTATGAGACTCCCCTGCTCACAGATCTCAGTCTGTGCGCCAGAGCATGCATCCTCCATGCCGTCGCAAAAAAAAAAAGGCAGGACGATGAGGAGTCGTGCATGGCGGTTTCTTTCTTTACCACTCCCTTCGTTTCTTTTGCTTGGTTTCTTGTTTTGCTCCCGTGTAACGCCAGTGAAGCCCGTCGACTGCGCGTACAACTGCGCGTCCGTAAAAGGCGCCACCGCCGCCCCCTCCCCCCTCTGCACTTTGCTTTGAAGCTTGTTTTTTGTATTGCATTTTTCAGGGTGTCTACCAAATTGTTTTATTTAATTTCCCTGACTTTTCCAGGTTTTCCCTGACTATTTTAATTGAATTCCCTGACCCACAACTACCGACACCAAAACACAATATATGATAGATAGACACTATTCACAACGTAAAATATTTTCTTTAAGTTAGATAAAGCAAACTTTAGAAGATGTTTAGAATACAGCATTGACCCGCGTTTACTGTTTCAGGGAGTTTGGTCTCAGCACCTGATCAGTACATCAATTTGTTCTCCGAGTTACTTTGTTCAGTGACTCATCAAAAGCAACCACCAGATATGGCACGTTAGAGAGGCTTGCTAGTAACTTGTCTTGAAAGTAGGGGCGATACCACGACATATTGTATATCCCACTTTGTCTTTTCCAAGCTGAATTTTTCTGGCGGTCTCACACATGGAGAACATCAACGGAAACAGCGAGGCAGACGCTGCCGCTGAACGGAAAGACCCATGAGTTGTTATAGTGTTCAAGCACCATATGATCCCCAGCCTTTGTGACTTCCTTCTTCAATAAAAAGCCACCACCCACGTCTTCACAGAGGGGCTAAGAGCTTCCGTGGCGATGGTTAGACGGATTGCTGGAGCCCTACAAGCACTATTGTTACCACCGGACAAAAACACCCGTTGCTGTCGCGGAAGGCAAGTCCGCATTTGTCGCAGTTTTGAAAAATACGACTGGGCTCTGGGAAACGCTTTGCAGATAATTCATAGCAGTTTGATGTTTCTTACCCTCAAGATGAGTAGCAATCGCCCTATTCCCCATGTTGCTCAGGGAGAACTTCTTGCAGCACATTGCGCAGTGAGCACTATTTGGATCATTTGAAATGGGCCGAATCCAACTTGCATTCGTGCATATGTCCGGGTTTGTCCAGTTGAGATTGAAGGAGCACTTTCTCGACAGCAACATAGTCACTTTCACATACCTCCAATTTCGGAAAATAACACAATAGGAAGTGCAACCCACAGCCACAAACGCACGTAGCAGAGCTACGTGCGTTTGTGGCTGTGGGTGTTCAGGTTGCATTTACAGGGAAGTGCGAAAGCACCATATCTGACAAACGAAAGGATCGCTAGGCGCGCACCTCTCAGAGGGTAGATGAATGAACGACGGCTGTTCTTTTTCGAGTGAGTGGTGACTCGCGCCACCTAGTATCGGCTAAAGCAACTGTCTCTCCTCGTACTAGAACAACACCACCTGACTAGAGTCACGAACTAAACAAAATTGCCGCTGCTACTCTGCTTCACTAGTAACTGTGAGTAACTCTTTAGCCACCATACTTTAGCATTGCTACCCTAAAGTGTAGCTTATTTAGTGGCTTTAGGGTGTACTAAAACAACGACGAGTCGCCAGTTTCGCACATGCTCTCGTGTGAAGCATAGCGCGTGGAAAATTGGGCGGGTCGCATCGCGCCTAGGGGGTCGCGACGCCGCACTTGACTGCGCTCGTGGCTATGCCTGCCCGTGCCTGCCGCTTCTAGCGTAAGCGGGCGAGCATGGGATAAATTCCCTGACTCGGCAATCTTTTTGGAAATTTCCCTGACAATTCCCCAACTTTTCCAGGTGTCTTATTCCCTGACAATTCCCGGTTTTCCCGGTCGGTAGACACCCTGTTTTTTGAGTAGAAGTCTGTTAGGGCTCTACGCGGGCTAGCAGTTTCCCGCTCAGTTTATTTCTGAGCAACTGACTCGCTGACTGGCTCATCAATTAGCAAACCATAAACCCTAGAAAAAAAAAATTAAAAAGAGAATTGGACTTAACTATTCCCATTCCATTCCGGGCAAAAGACAGCTAATTCCATTCCCATTCCCCTCAAGGTTGCCGCCACTCCATTCCTATCCCATTCCGGGGTCACGAAAATGCGGAATGATACCGGAATCATTCCAACACCGGAGTGGCAACTCCACAACACTGGTCTGATCTCACCAGCCAGTCTGGCCACACCACTGCTGCCAACGCACATCATGGGAACTCAGTCTTCACACACGTACAACAACCTCGCTGCTGCTTTGCGCAAGCAGAGCATGAAACAACATCAGCCTGTTAGTGAACTGGCGCCTGCCTCCTGGGGACTAGAGCTATGGTGGCATCATGCATGCGCCAAACGCTTGGTCTATTCCAGCTGTGTGGCAGCACCATCTTGTTGTCGTCTTAGTAAAGGTGGGCTAAATCAGGCCTCATGCAGGTGAGAGCAGTCCCATAATTCAAGCCCACAGAGCGCAGCCTAACCTGCATTTGGGAACTTGTACCAACCTCGCACTCCAAAGCTTTAAAAAAAAGAAAAAAGAAATGCTAGGAAGAATGGGTGGATTGAGCCTTTTATTAATCTGCAGAGGTATTCTTCAGCCACAAATGGGAATGCAACCCCTTATATCTTTCACAATTGTGGCTTCAACTACACCCTTGCTTTGTGAACAGACAAAGGCCCTGACAAACGCTGCAAATACACCAAAATGACAATGATGAAAAACCTGCAATCAACGAACAAATGAAACTTGCTTGAGAATTCAACATTTCCGCTGAAGAAGTGTGAAGTGGCCATTGTCGAGTGAAAGTTGCAAAATAACTTAAAGGGATACTACAACGAAATTTCGGTGCTCATTTTTTTGGTCTATATGTGTTCAAAAGAGCAGTATCACATGGAACATACCAATATCTTGTTAAAAAAGTCTCAAAAAGGAATTTCAGAACGAATTAAACGATTAGCAAAGAGCACCTGGTGGATGTCGCTAACGCCTCGTTTGTAATGCTCGTCTAGGAACCTTGACAGCTAGTGACGGAGGTTGTCTCGTCTTCGGCCACGACGAGAGAAGGGGGGAAGGAGGAATTCCCCTCTTCCCGAGAATCCTTTTTGTGTGTCGCAGAAGTCGCTATTGTCCCCCTAGAAGATTATAGAAGATTAACCCGTCACTCAAAATTCGTACAAAAGCAGCCGCTTCGGTGGCTGAACGACTACGCCAACCTCTCTACGTCAGCCTCGCCGTAGCTTTGCTCGTCTTGAGACGACCTACGTCACGATTGCGTTGGATGTCACGTGCTCTAAGCTGGGCCTTCTCCGAGCGCTTGCCAGAGTGGGCCGTTTATAACGAAAAATAGAGCCACCAGGATCAAAATACAAACGTGCGATTGTCATTTACGGATATTGTGGATCATATTCAACCTATTTTTGAACACGACGGGAATATTTTAAATTTCGTTGAAGTATCCCTTTAATATTAAGAACGAAATAACATTTTTGGACTGCTCGACAATTCTGATTTTGGCACAATCCCCGTCGAGTCCCAAGCGTTAGTCAGTGACCGTGTTCCTAAATTTGTTTCTGGTGGATAATAACACACCAGTAGCAATAGACATTGGCTTGCATCTATTAGTGAGGGCAGCCAGAGCACAGCTCTACTCCTTATCAGCATAATAGGCAAAAGGCGAAAGCTGCGGTCCTGGCAAGTCGGCCGGAGCAAGACAGATAACACTATGTGCAGCCAAAGTGCACACCTCTTCAGTAAAGCCACCACGTGCTTCGCTCCATCTTTCCGAGTGGCTCACAAGAGACATAGCTTCTGGACTTTGCCAATTTACGTTGGTACAGAGTGAAGCAAGATGCAGCTTCAACATAGTCATGTCTCGTTAACATAGATGTCTCCGATCCCCAGGAAATCATCCACAATGTGAGTGATGTACAATAACGCAGTCTCACCTCCCAAGTGGCGAGGGATGTGAAAGTCAAATTTGTACGTGCCAACCAAACGAAGGGCATCTGCCATGCCCCAGCCGAGGAATGAGGATTCATTTTGACCGCCTGGGGAGCTCTTGATGTGCACCTGAAATCTCGGTTGCACGGTGCTTTCTCCGCAATGAGCCTGTTAGATTGCGCGCACGTTGGCTGGGGTTCGAACCCGCCACCTGAGAATCCGTCGCCCGATTCCTTACCTTCGACCCACCGAGGCGGCCTAAATCGAGGAAGGTGTCCAGCCTTTTTCTTTTGTGCACAAGGTGTACACATGGCATACCAATGTTCGTCAGGTTTGATAAATGCCGCCGTGACATACAAGAGAGAGGAGGGCAAGTAGCCTATTTGGCTGAAAGCTTCCAAAAAACTAACCATTGTCTGCTGCCTACGTCTTCTTTCTCTCAAAAAGGGCAACCAAGAACAGACAATACTGACACTGGATGTACCTGCCCTGTTACCCCAAACCAATTTTTTTTTGTAGTTCTAGGTTACTTTTAGAATGCTCGTAAATTAATTAGACACAAATGCATGTATTTACCAAGTTTGTTCCCAAACAGGCTGTCCGTAACCCTGACTGAGTTTCTATATTATTGAGGAAGTACTACATGGGGACAGCTCAATCACCAAAAATTATGCCTATACAATGGGGTGTCCATATTAACGAGACCGAAATTATCAAATTACTTCATAAGAATTGTGTGTTTCACCCACATTGTGCGAAGAAATGAAAGATAGCTGTAGCATGGTCGCGCAATGCGGGTGGAATCGTGCCGTCACATACCTTAGGACGAATGTGAGACATGGTTAATTCTCATGGCCATCGTGGTTGGTGTCGCGCACGCCATGGATGACTGTCGCCAATAATCCATGAAGTAGGTGGGAAAACGCGATGGAAGTTTAGAAAACTATGCGACATTACGCCCAGCAAGTAGACACTGCCAAAGTGGGATTTCGCACATGTTCAAAGTGATGCTTTGAAACAAGCTTTCAAGCAGAAGACACAGAAGACTCCCTTCATAGCGCCGTTACTGGCGGGATGCCGGAATGGCCGACGAGAAAACCCACTTCCCTGGCCTCATGCCTAAAGCGGAGAGAAGGGGTTTTTTTCATTGCGGTGACGACTGGAGACAAGGTCAAAATCTCTGCAAAATGTCACCCATAAAACTATCGCTTCAAAAAAAAAAAAGAAAATAGGCTGCCTTTACTTATCTTATTTCACACTGTTGTGATGCAGTCTCACGAAATTCGTTAATAGCAGACTGACCTGGTGGGAGGGCTGTCGAGGCAGCTCTGCTCCAACGCTCTGGCCAGCATGGCGCTCTCGTCCTCCGGGGTGATGGGCGCGGGACCGCACAGCGGCTGCCCCCGATGCTGTCGCTCCTCCCACACGTTCACATCCAGAGGCTCCAGGCTGTGTGCCACCACTGCATGTGGAAAGCACCGCACCAGGTTGTCTCTCGGATAATTCTAGGGAACGCCAACCTCCTTGGCCCGCACAGACAACATCCAAAGCAAAAAAGAAAACCGTGTACCTCTGCACCGGTGTTAATCCGCTAGTCAACAATGAACCACACAAATTGGACGAAAGTTCTTGAACTTGAGACACACTCGTACTAAATGAGCGCCAAGTGCCTTCCTTCTATAGTCACTGACAAGATGAGAAAGGCAGTTAAGTATTTCAGTTGTCCCACCACCAGCACAAGCTTGCTTACTTCCTTCGACAACGTTCCGGTGTCTCGTGACCCTCGACCGTTCAGGTGCCGCCAGAGCACGACAGGGGGCAAAAGCCTGTGCTGCAGGTCAGGCGTCCAAAAGAGACGCCTTGCCGTTTTTGCCCTGTCCGTGACTAGTAAAGATGCTGCAAACTTTTTGAGAATCTGAGGTTTGAAGATCAGCCCAGAGGGTTCAAAACAGTCGCAAAGTCTTAAAACGTCAGACTTATTACATAAAAAGATACAACAATTTTTGAACCTTTGCATTTTTGGCACTGAAAATTGGATTGTTTATAAACTTTGGATTTTTTGCGCTATAAAATTTGACATTTTCGAACTTATTACATTAAGAAATTCTACAATTTTCGAACTTTTCAGCCTGCTGAGTTGAAAAAGTCTACGAACTTTGAACTACTGAACAGAAGTTCGACAAAGTTCGAGCCCAGTTCACCTCTATAGGTTCGAAGCAACAAATATAAATAACGCAAGATGTCAATGTGTGAAGTGGAGTTGAAATTGCACTCCGAGTCTTACCGTTACCTGATCGTGACACAAACGAGCTTGTAAAGTGCTAAATGATTGCTTTGGGGTGACCTTGGCCTTTTTCTTTCGGCTTCAGCACAGAGCCTCTCCCGTGCACAACTTTGTAGGTTGTCCCGAGGTAACCTGTAGGCCAACAGATCCCTGATCTGCAGGCTTGAAATGCAACCGAGGCGCTTCACATTGGCGTCGCAGAGAGCGACACCAATGTGCTACAGCAAACGCTGAATCAGCGCTTACTTCATTATCATTAGTAATCGACTGTATTTTAGAGTGCCAATATCTCCATTCGTCAAAGAAAAGAAGTTCCAGGCAGTGGCAATCTGGTTATCCCGATAACTACATGTCGAGACCTGATCACCTGTATTCGGCCGGGTGGTCTCCTGATTTAGTCTGGTGGCATTCTCCTCAACCTTGATTTGTGTTGGGTGCTGTGCCTGTGTTCAGTGTTTTCTTCATCCTACGGGTCATACCGCCAAAAATAAACGCCCAGAGAAACTAAAAATTTTCAGTAAGCCTAGACGCCCTTATGTGAATGCATGGTCCTGCATATTTAGTTGTCTTTTGCCAGCATTGCATTTAAGCAATGTTTGATTGGATTGCTACTACATGCAAATAAGTAGGAAGTTTGTTCACCTGACCTCCTCAAGGCTTTCAGATAAACCGTTCACCAAGCTCAACATGTTTAATAAGTTGTGACAAATAAGGAAGGAGTATTAATGAACAAAACATGAGGTCACAAGTGAGCTGGTGTAAGTTCATAATAGTCTGGGCAACATTTTCGGTAAACCTTGTGGCACATTTCGTGATCTTTTTTAGATGAATTCATGACAACTTAGTTGGAAACTGTGGAATTTGATCTCCATCCATGAAGTTCAGACTTGGAACTTAAAATCAAAACTTTCGAACTTTTCCAACTTGTACCAAGAAAAAATTATAAATATTCAAATATTTCGAACTTGAATCTTTAATAAACTCAAAATGTTCGAATATTTCTAACTATCTGTCAAAATATTCTATATCTTCAAACTCTAACTTTCAGAAACCTTAACATTTCCGAATTATTCTAATTAGAACCTCAGCTAGGCTCTAGAGTTGCAAACTTTTCAAATTCGAGTCTTAGCGAGGTTTGAAATTTTCTAACCTTTCGAACCCAAACTTTAGGAGGTTCGCGGCATCCCTAGAGACTAAAGTCATCTACGCTTTCCACTTTTAAACTATAGTCGGTGACAATTCAAGAACAAAGTGCAAGCTCCTCCCACCCCTTTCCACTTCAGCGGAGTGAATAGTGGAAAGGAGGTTGCCTCCTCTCCCGCATTTGCTCTACTAAAGTGGAAGGAGATGGGAGGAGCTTCCACTTCGTTCTTGACCTGTCACCGAATATACACTCCCCCTTCCTTGCACCAACAACTTACACTCAATGCCACCACATAAACTAAACCAAACATGCAGCCCTGGTATGCTATAGTAAACGAGTTATGGAATCTTCGTATAATTTAGAGCAAGCAAAGACTGTGCCCGAAATTATTTAATTAAATGACAATAAAAAAAAACAAAAAAAAAAAGAAACTGGAAATCTTGCTTGTACTTTATGGTGAAACGAATCAGCTGGTGGAAAACATGCAAGAATAACAGTGTGGCATGAACTGAAAACTTTGGCCCTTTGTATTGCCGCTCGTAACTCTTCTCAGACTTCGATCACTTGGAATCCTTGCAGTGAATTCAGTCTACGGAGGTGGCAGGCCCTGCTTTTCAGGACATGATGGACTGTGATCCCTTAGAGCCCCACCCCAGAGTCGTCAGAATACAAGGGGTGACAGATAAGTTTCGCCTCCTAGGCTGAAATGTTTTTATTCAGTGGTGGAATTTGAAAGATGTTACATTCAAATAAAAGCTTGTAATCTCCTCTTTCCCAGGAGCACGCAACTTTTCAACCTAGTCCCCAATGGTGGCAATGTACTTCCACCACCGGTCTACTACTCTCCGCATGCCGTCATAGATGATTGAGGGTGGTTGTTGTTGATACCAATGGCGCACTGCACTGGTAACCTCGTCATTGGACGCAAACAGTGTATCCTTCAGATGTTCCTTTCTCTTGGAAAACAGCCAAAAGTATGATGGCGCAAGGTCCGGGCTCTAAGGTGAATGAGGAAAAACAACATAGCACCGCAGCTCCTCCAGCGCAGCCTTGGTGTCGTCAACAGCTGTCCTCAATCAACTACGACGGCATGCAGAGAATAGTGCACTGGTAGCGGAAGTGCATCGTTGCCGGTGGAGACTATACTGAAAAGTTATGTGCTCCTGGAAAAGAGGAGCTTCTAAACTCTCATTCGAATGTGACATCTTTCAATTCCATCACTGAATAAAAAAGTTACAATTAAAGGGGCCCTGCAATGACTTTTTTACTAATTTTTAATTTGCACCGAACCTGAGCGCACTGAACGTAGTAACTTAGTGAAACTTTTCTTTTCTCGAAATTCCCTTTATTTTAAAAGTCATAGGCGAATTAAAATTACAAAAACAAGCAATAAATAACCTCCCTCGTGACGTCCTTGGTTGCTTGAGAGTGGCCGTGAACTAGAGGAGAAATAGTGAGCTCATCGAGCGCTCACGGCTGCCGCACTCCGTGTCGACGGTGCGAGAGGGCGCCAATAAAGCGTGTTCTGGATAGGCTGTAAGCAGCGGGCAGCCAGAGCGGCTCTCATTGCATTTGCTGCGCGATTAAATACTAATTCGGCATGACACTTCATTGGCCACAAACGACAGCAAACACAGGGTAAAGATCAGTTCAGAATGGGAGCTGCTTTGCACTGCCATACCGCGAAACGGCCAAACCGCAAGATAAAGCTTCTAGCCGAAGGCCTTCGGAATGCTCGGAGTCGTTCGGATCCTCCTGCCCATACGACCGCAGCGCCGTCGCGTACATCCAGGACCTTTCCATGTCGGCGCCTGATCCCACTACTCCTTTCTAGTATGCGCCGCCTTTTTCACCGCTGGGTGGCGGGTATCTCGACGGGTCATTTCTTGTTTCCGTACTTTATGAACTGCATTCGTTTCTTTTTTGATCTAAAATACTGAACAAAAACTACTTTTATAAATAATTGAAATGGTTCGCGCCACTTATGTTTTGTATTTCGACTAAAAAGAAGCTTTTAGCGGCTCTGACCAGTAGTAAGCCCAGGACCAAAGATGTCACATTTTGCGCGCTTTCGGTATTGCGGGTCGCCCTCGTCAGTGAAGGAGGTTTCCGCGTCGTCCGGTTAAAATATGACGCACTGATATTTAGTTACTCTCTCCGTGCCCGCTGGCTTGCCCGAACCCCAAGAGACGTGGAAACTGCAAAAAAGGTAGATGCTTAAATATGATTGCAGGGCCCCTTTAAGGAGGAAAAAGTTATTGTACAACATACAATCTTCGATGAACAGTTCTCCCCTAGACTTGGAGCGCTGTCGGACAGCATTTGGATGCTCCGCAGAAGAGCCATCAAATCCATCAAATGGTACTGTAGACACGACATTAAAGTACACGTGTTTAACTGTTTCTGTTTTTGCAACATGCTGAGCTTTAAAGCAACATTTTACTATATGTGCAACTGAACCTGTAAATAAAAGTAGGGATTAATTTTTTTATAAAAACTAATAATGTTTTTTTTTTTTTTTCATTGAAATATGACATTTTTTTTAACCATTTGTGACAATAAAAACAAATTTTATTCAGGGGTGTCGAGGCTTCCTTAACCCCTTAACAGTTTTGGACAAGCCTAGGTTGTCAACGTGGAGCCATCCCCAAACCGTTCAGGATGAGTATAGCTTGTCTGCTCAACCATTCTGGACAAACCAGGCTTGATCATAGCTCTGTTTGCAGCTGTGCCAACAAATAATAGCACAGATTTTTTTTTTTTTTTTTTAAATCTTGCTCAAATTCTGTTTGTGACTACAAATTTGATTTGAAGGCAACAAATACAAGTTCAAAGACAATTAAAAAATCCCTGAAAAGAAAAAAAAATTTTTAAACCAGTCTAATTGGGACACGCATGTCAAAAAATAAAATTTCTGCGAAAAAAAAATTCTCTTGAACAATATTGACGGCGAGAGATTTATTTTAAATTCTGCGCGCAAAGTCCATGACGTCACGGAACGGTCATTCACTCTCTCGACCTAAATGAGATGGTGATTCGCTCCTTCCACCTCAACGTGAAGGCGAAGTTGATCTACTTCTTCTCCACGTGCCCGAAATGCCGAAAAAGAAAAGAAGCGGAAAGGAGGTGACTACCGACTAAATTGCGTCTTGCATCGTCAATACTGTTCCAAAACGTTTTTGTTTGTTTTTTCGCAAAATTTATTTTTTGATGCCCCAACCAGGTTGTTTAAAATATTTCTTTTCAGAGGCCCTTCAAGCAGTTCAGGGTAAGAAATTCTTAAGAACTAAAAAAGGTTAAGGGTTTAGAGATTAAAAAAAACAAGCAGTGCTGGTAGACGATACAAGTAGAAGGAAAAGCTGCTTGAGAGCTCACAAATCACGAGTCTACTTTAGATGTATCAATTCTTAAAAAATAGAGGGTGGCTCTCAGAAAAGCATGATTTAGGCACAGCGAGGATCAAGTCATCAATGCAGCTGCAGTCCGCTGATGGGCAGCCAGCGAAACGGTAAGCTTGTACCTTTAACAGTGCCAACCCGTAAGCAGCGAAGCATAATTCATTTTGCCATCTAGTTTGTGTTAAAACAATAAGAGCAACTAGATCTTCATTCACCGCTAGCACCTTCAGTGAAACACCACAATTAAGCTGGGTCTAGAAATCGGCATCCTACCATCTCTCTGCCAACCCCCTTCAGTGAGCAGTCACCCAAAACCCTTAAAGGAAAGCATAACGCTGAACAGCTCACCAGTTTCGGGAGTCCAAAAAGTGGGCCTTCTGGGACCGGCTCTCCTTGGCCTTCGGTGCCCCAATGCAGCACCCCGCTGATGCACCACAGGACTGCTTCGAGAAGAGGACAGGCTCTCCGGAGAAACATCCCTCGGAAACCTGCTCTCAAAGGAAGCCCTTCTCTCTGGGGAGGTACTCCTCAATGGAAATGTTCTCGTTTCTGGGAATGACTTCCTGTCAGGAAATGTCCTCTTGTCTAGGAATGCCCTCCTCTCTGGGGAAGACCCTTTCTCTGAAGCTGCCTTGTCTTGTGAGGAAGCACTTTCTGGCTCTTGGCCAAGGCTGCTTCTGTCGGAGAGCTTAGAGCCAGAACTTCCAGTGGACATTCTGGGGGGGTCTACCTCCAAACCTGGAGGTCTCACTGAGGAAGGTTTCTGGGGAGAGGAACTCCTTAATGAGTTGCTTCCTGGAAGACTTCTCGGAGAAACTAGGCTTGTACGAGTTCTTTCGATCGAATGGCCCCTCGATGAATTTCTGGTGGGCGAGTTTCTCCCCAGGGAGCCTCTCCTTGGAGAATTCCTAGGGGAGCATCTTCGGAACGAACTTCTTCTGGGCGAGCTTTTTCCATGGGAGTTCCCGCTCGGCGAGTTTTCTCTTGGAAAATTGTTCTTTGGAGAGTTTGTCCTTCTAAAGTTTCTTCCTGTGGAGTTTCTTCTTGGAGAGTGCCTCCCTGGTGACCTCCTTCTTGGAAGGTTCCCCTTTGCCAAGTCTCTTTTTGGGGAATATCTCCCTGGTGAGTTCCTCCTTGGAGAGTTCCTCCTTGGAGAGTTCCTCCTTGGAGAGTTCCTCCTTGGAGAGTTCCTCCTTGGTGAGTTCCTCCTTGGTGAGTTCCTCCTTGGTGAGTTCCTCCTTAGTGAGGTTTCTGTTGACGAGGTCTTTATTGGTGAACTCTTCCTTGGAGACTTGTTCCTGTGAGGCTTTTTCTGGGGCAAGTTCCTTCTGGGCGAGTTTCTCCTGGGCGAATTCCTTCTAGGCAAATTTCTTCTGGGGGAGTTTCTTCTGGGGGAATCCCTCTGGGGAGAGTTAGACCTGGGGGAAGCTTTTGGAGAATCAGCAGTCTTCCCTTTTTCAGAGTGTGCTGGGGCATCCAAAGGCTCAGATGCTCCAATGCTACTTTCTGTTTTTCTCTGAAAAAAAAAAAAAAAAGAAAAACACCATTAAAGGGGCGGTGCAATGATTTTAACACTGAACGAATGTGCAGCTTGTATTTTTTATATTGTTTACTTTGGCATAAGTAAGAGAAAAAGTGCTACCATACCCCAAAATACCTCTATTTCGCTGCGTAATCGTAAAATAAAAAACACTTTTTTTCCCAACCTGCGGCCACATGGTGGCCGCAAATGGAACCTGTGGTGCGACGTCATCCGGAGTGGTCTTTGTAAGTGATAGTGTTAGGCAATTGTAAGCTTGATTTAAGGTTAAGTTTAAAAAATCTTGTTGTTTAGGCATGCAGAAACGCTTCAAAAGCATAATATTGCCGCTAGAAGGGTATGAATTATTTGTGGCGCCATCTACCGCAAGTCAACAAAACCTGCCGTCATTAAAAGTTCATTAAAAGGAATGAACAGCATTAACATCCAAACATTTGATGATTTGCAAGAATTAAAATAAGACAGAAACGAATTGTAGAAACCGTGGTCGATGTCGCCCTAACAACATCTACCATGCGACACAAGGAAGTGAGAGAGAGAGAGAAGATAGAGCAGTTGCTTGCCTGTTCTTACCCACCCCGTACATTGCCTTCAACATCTGCTACACAAGCCGCCCCAATTTCAAGGCTTCGCTAGACATTGTCTTGGTTGTGGTATCGAGACAAAATAATGTACAACAAACGTCCATCTTGCGAGGCCAGTCCAAAGGCACAGCACGAATAGAAAAAGCTGGCGCATGTACTGCAGGTGGTTTGGGAAGTGGACTAGCAAACTACGGGAGGATACGAAATATGTACAGCTCATTCCCAAAATTTGTTATGGTGTTGGTAGAGGCTGTTGCATGTTTTGCAAACTATCTATTCAGTTAACTGGATGCTTCCAGCCATTGAGACAAAAGATAGAAGTGAAAGTATCAAAACATGCCCACAATGCATTTTATTAAAATAGAACAAGAAAAGCTCCTGGTGATGGTAGTCTAGGATAACCTCACCTCAAAGTTGGAAAAACCTCAGACTTCTATGAAATACAGTTCCCAAGGTTGTGCGCTTATGACTGGCCATAAACCTGAACAATTCACTACACAATTTGCAACGAAACATACTTAAAGGGACACTGACACCCCTCAAAATTTTTTTTTTATTTTTTGCCAGGCGCTTCACTATGGTGTCGGAGGACTACCCAATTAATATTTTGCAACAGAGTAGCGTATTTTTTTAATAAAGCCAAAAGACGCAACTGCTCGAAACCGAAACCGAAACCCGACGGAGGTCGGTGAAGTGGAGAGAAGAGAGTGAGTGGCGGAAGTCACGTGGCTACACCCGACCGTGCGTTTTTTGTCTTTTTTTTTTTCTCCTCTCCGTAGCAGACGACACGACATGCGGGAACTGCTCGCCGTGCGATACTTTTGCAGTTATGTTTGTTCCGCTCGTTTTCCTGTACTCCAAGATGAGTTGTTTTGTACATTGAGAAGTTGGAGATGAGTAGTGAGTGCCCGTTGTGAATTTCCATGATCGGCTCCGAAAAGAATACACCCAAGATGTTGCGTGAAGAGCTGGTTCACATGTCCTGCATCCGAAAAAAAGTGGCATTGTGCGACAGAGTTTCCGAAAGATCAACGGGATCGGGACCAATGGCTGGCTGCAATTCCTGTAGAACATATACGGGCACCTCGGAAGGCGGACGCTACCTGATTTATATGCTCCTTGCATTTTGTGGAAAGTGATCACATTGAGTTCGCAGGTGTCAAAACGGAAATCCCATACCATTTAATTCAGCGAAGTATCGTCCACAACATTTGTTTGTTATTTTTTTTTTGTTTGTTTCTTCAGGGATGATTGTAAAAAAAAAATGAAAAGATATGTAAACATCGGAAAATGTTTGAAAAAAAAAAAAAGAACATCACGGGGATCGAACCCGGACCTACCGCATGTGAACCGGACGTCTTTCCCACTGAGCTACAGGGGCATCTCTTTTGTGGTGGATCTCTTTTCTTAGTAATAATTCAGCCGGTAAACTAAGTTGGAAAGTTTGCTGTCGATTTTTCTCTAGCAAAAGCACTCCCGGGTCGAAGTCGGGAAGCACCACGCTGTGGGGACATTCGCACCTAGTAAAGAAATAGTACGCGTGCATATTCAACTCGAAGTAGACACGTCGTGCTTGACGTTTTCGCGAGCGGTGATCTTCAGCCACGAGAAGGGAGCGACGGCTCGGCGACGTCTTCGTGCAAATCGGCTTGGTGGTCGGGCGTGTCGTACGGGATGAATACCAATTCTTTTGATCAGTCCCAAATTTCTTTTTTAACGGTAGACAGAATTCGTCGCTACCGCGAACGAAAGTTCTGAAATAGAGGTCCGTCGTCCGCTGCCATCGCCGTCCCCGCGAGTCCCACGATACGCGAAACGACGAACGCACAGAATGCTTCCGGTTGTCTGTGGAACTTTTTTTTTCAATAAACGTATTTACAGCTTTTTAGAAGCCACAAAAAATGGCTTTCATATTTTTTTCTATTTTTAATATTGAGTGTGTGCCTTCAGTGACCCACGACTTTGATTAAATTTGGTGGTCGCATCGATACCTTAGAAAACGGCCCGTGACCACGGAAAAGAGAGTGAGCGAGACTCGAACCGGCCAGTTCTTGATCGGCGGTTTTCGGGCGGAAAGAAACCGAATTTCGAGCCGCAAATTCTGTTCTGGGTAGTTGAGCTCTCATATGTCACGTACAACTAAAAACCTCGGCGAGCATAAATACCCTGTCAGTGTCCCTTTAAGAGTGCAGCGTATTTTGAGTAGTAATTGGCTAGCCTCACAGCTGAAGAAACAACTATGGGCACTTGTGCTCCCAGCCAACAAAGAAAGAGCCTCTGGGAGGCCCCCGAGAAGGACTAGAAATTAATTTGGCATGGCACTTGCACACATTTCATTTTTGTGCCATTTCAGTGCTTGCAATCTGATCTATTTTATTCCACACTTTTATCTAGGTGCGAGAGAAAAATTGATTTACTGGAAAGGTGAAGAGGTTATCCCGCAGAGATTGGCAGGACGGCTACTTCACACTTGGGGGAGGGAAAGAGGGAAGGAAAAAATTATAAAAAAAAAGGTATGTACATACATATACTGTAAAACCCTTTATTTTCGCGGCCCCTATTTTCGCGAATCGGTCACAGATGACATAATCGCGACCACTAAATTTCGCGAATTCCAGATGCCTGCATTGAAAATCTTAAGGACCGAAATTTTCGCGCGGCCTTAAATTTCGCGAATTCTTCAATTCGTGAAATTTGCGAAAATTGAGGGCTCGCAAACATTAAGGGTTTTACAGTATACATACCTATATACATACATCTACACCACACTTATATATATCTACATACACACACCTATATGTATACATATATGAGTATTTTCCCCTTTCCCCTATATGCACATGTATATATATATACACATACACAAAAGGAAAAGGAAACTCCGTATGTTGTTGTCTGTTCATTTAAAAGTATGTCCAGGATTTAGAGTGTTCGGTCCAGTTTTGTTTTCTAAAGAAAGCAAATGAAGGAGGTCGTTAATTTGAAACCTCTCCGATGCTGAGTCCCATGGTCCGAGCAGGTGAGTCAGGAAAAGAGCTTCTTTGTTGGGAAGATGGAGAGAGTTTGCCAGTTCATTTCGTTGACTTGTCTATAGGCTACACTTACCGCCGAATTCAGAAACCTCACTCAAACTACACTCAAACTTAAGGGCCCCTCCACTTCCTCGAGGAAGGCGCGAGGGACGGCGCTGGCCAATCGCGAGGACGGATCCACCGTCGCGATTGGCCAGCGCCGGCCCTCGCGCCTTCCTCAAGGAAGTTGAGGGGCCTTTAAGTTTGAGTGTAGTTTGAGTGAGGTTTCTGAATTCGGCAGTTAAGACAGGACATGTTTGAGTGAGTCTGTGACGGCACAGTTCTTACAGAGAGGAGAGTCTAGCTGGCCGATGAGATTGAAATAAAAACCCGTTGAAGCCACATTGAGTCGTATTCGGTGGAGTGGAGTTTCAGTCCGGCGTTTAAGATTGCGGGGTGAACGGAAAACAAGGAAAGGGTCAATGCTGTGCAGGTGTCTGTAATAATAAAGTGGATTTGCCCAGAGGGAACTTATCATAGTCTTAACAACATAGTTTATTCTGGGCCTAGTATGTTTGTGTGGATGGGATCATCAGATTGCAGGCACCTTGGCACGAGTTTGAAAAAACCAACTGGGAATTCATAGGCCGAAACACTGAAATCGGTGCCACCGAGGCGACCATTATTAGACACGAAATAAAAATCTCAATCCCGAGTGTCAAATAAATATTGATTTAAATCATTGTACCAAAAAAAACAAGTGATTATCACTCTATAATTTTAAACACAGAGGACCAATTGATCAATTTGTACAACACTGAAAACAATGCAGACAGAAAAAATTACTGCCAATTTAAACCTTTAAAGCACTGTTTATTTACCATTTTTTTATTAATATAAATCCCACCATATAAAATAAGCATGATATTTTTAGCTGGTGGAAAAGCCTCAACTTTTTTGCCCCATTTGCTTACTATGGGAGCTTCTTGTTTTCTTCTCTTTTGCATTCTGATTTGCTTGTAATAGAACATTACAAAACTGAACAAAGAAGTGAGAGGTAGAAAGAAAGAAAGCTCCGATTTTCTCAAAAAAGCACTGCTTTTTGTTTGCATTCAGCCTGACATAAATCTTTCTTGGATGGTCTTGATGATCCTTTGATCTAAATACACCATAAGACAAATACCCATAGAGGGCTTAAATGATAGACAAGCAGTAAATAAAAAATATTTCAGAATTATTTTGCGGGGAGAGTTTGATTTAAATCATCATAGTAAAACTGGTGTGATTTAAACCATGATTAAAATCACCATTCAAATAATCTTCATTTTTATTCTCCTTCCTGATTCTCAGTCACATGGGGTCTTCCTTGCCTAGGACAAAA